TTATTAAAATTCTTAGTCCTAATTACAAGTATAGATGATAAATTCATCTCCTGTGGATCCAATTCACTTCATATGTTGGTAATGATGAAGGTAGATATGAGAAATAAATCATTTGAAAATATTAGGATGAAGAATACATCTTTGATTGGAGGAAACTTTGTAAAATGTAATATGAATGGATCAGAATTTGAAAATGTGGATATCAGTGTAGTCAATTTTAATGGTGCTTTTGTAAATGGAAGAACATTAAGATCCATCTAAAGCACTATATGCATCAGGAAAATAAAAATTTTCATTAAATAGACATACTATATGGGTTTATTTGGTATGCTTCTCTCTAAGGGTATTAATAGAACATTTCGTGGAGGGATAACTCTATATTTTTATTGGATGACAAGAGAGTAGTATACTGAATGAATATAATTACTGAGTCTATCTAATTAAGATTCTTATTTTCCTGATAGTACAATCATAATGAAGATTAGTATATCCAATTAATTTTGGAAGCTAAATATAAAATTTAGTGAAAACATAATTGATTATAACAATATATATATTTATATTTTTTATAGCAATTCCATTCCTCTGATATCGTTGAGGTTTTAAAGAAAAAAAAGTTATAATTATTTATAATATTTCCCTTTTTTAATCTATTTTTGATAAAGATTTATCAATATTAAATTTTTCTTTTAAGAATGGAATGAATAGATTTTATTACTATTCCTTCATATATACTTCAACATATTAAATAATAGATATTTTATGATTTAATTCTCCAGCTATTATTCTTATTGGAAAATAAATACTCTTAATTTGAAGAAATCAGAATATTTTAAATAATCCATAATTCATATAATATTTAAAATAGTATTACATTAATTGAATTATTGAAAATTGAATAAATATTAGATTTAATATAAAAGAAATAGAAAAAATATCTAAGCTAATTCATGATTTAAATATTGTTGGTAATTAAAAATAAGTCATGATAATCATTACAACAACAACATTAATAACGAAGGGATATAAAATTTGTTTTAAGGAAATAGCTCACGAAGTTTAAGAGTCATAAATCTAGGATTTTGATAAACATTAAAAAAGTGATTATTTAAGTTATTATACTGAACTTAGTGGCAATAAGAGTAATTAATGATTTTTTGAAACAGATTTCATAATTGAATTCTTTATAGATGAAAGTTTAGCTATTGGGCGTAATAGTAAAAGTTCAAAAAAAGTATCCACAATTCTCTTAGAACTTAATCAGAATTAAATTTGATAATTCTTATGAGTAGAATTAATTAAAAAAAATTATAAATTTCAAATGGCCTTCAATAATGTAGATATTACTGATTAATTTTTCACTCCTTTCATGGAAATTATTATCTAAGTATTACTAAAACAATAGTAAAGTTCTGTTGATATAAAAAATAAATTTTATAAAGTAACCTAAAATAACAAAAAAATTCAGGTTAACTAAGAAACTATTAAAAAATTTAAAAATAACTTAGATTTGAAAGATAATAATAAAGTAATTCAACAAATTTTTTATAGTAAAATGTTGATAAACCAGAATAACAAACCTAAATTGATTGAAGATTTTAGTTTTATTTGGAAGTATAAAGTTTTTTTTCATCTTACTCAACAACTAGCATCCTTAAAATTGATAGCGATAACTTGTTAGTTGATGATAAATCTTTTACTCTTGATAATAAAGATATCGAATATGTAGTTTTAGCTTCAAAGTTAAACAAAACTAGTAAATTAATTGGAAAAGTTTGCTAAGATATTTTATAATTTTTTTTTTCCATAAAATTTAGCAAAAGATATGGTAATCAATTAATTATCTGAATCACATATTAATAAAAAAGTAATTGAAATGAAGAAATACAGTATATAATTTGAATTTGCAAATAAATAAGTTTTAAGAAATGAATAATTTAATAATAATAATTTTAATTATGCTGACTGTCAGATTGTTTATGGTAGAAGTATAATGGAAAGAAAAGCAGTTTTAATAGAAGATAAATAACAGTATCTTAATTCTCTTCAAATGTGAAGTAGAAATTTACTTAATACTAGAATTTGATAGCTATTTTAGAGATGATTGTAAATGCTAAATGCTGTCATTTTAAGAATATGAAATCCTTATTAACTGTACCAAATGAAAATACATTATTTATTCGAGCAGAAACCTATCTGGCTTATGGGGAATTTTAGTATGATAATTCTGCTGATGTTAAACAAATATCATTTCCCATTTCCTGTTAAGTTATTTTCTAAATCTAATTTTGCTTTTGTTATTTAAGATTGGACAACTCAAATATATGATCTGAGTACTTTAGTAATTATTAGTGGAATTACTTTTGATGAAGATAATATTTGAATATAGTAATGAATATTTATCATTTTTGAAATGTAAGAGAATAATAAAATAAAATTAATCATGAGGATCTGACATTCTTAAATTATTATAAAAAAACCTGATAGATGATTAAATTAAATATAAAGGAGAGTGAATAAAATATCCCTTGTAGACCTGTACTATCTGTAATATTTGAAGATGGAAATTTATATTTTTGTAATATTAATATATCTCTTTTAGAATATTTGAGATTGAATTAGATTGATGATGGTATTTAGATTTTTATGTATATATATTTGATGGTTCTTTATTAATTATTCAAATCAAAGATAAACTGGTATGATTTTATGATGAGAAAATGGATCAGAAATAAAGAAAAAAAAATTGAGTCTTTCATTTATGCAGAAATTTTAGTATTAGATGATAATAAGACTTTGGCTTTTATGAATTTTACTATAATCATGATATCGTTCTCAAGAACTTTATTTAGAATAAGGAAATATTGTTAGAACTTTAAAAATGTCCCAATAATTCAATAAATTAAGATTTTGGAATAAAGAAACAGGAGAAAAAATTTATAGTTATTAACTTCCTTATAATAATAATATAAGTTTTTTTAAAGATGATAAGTAATTTTTAGTTGCTGGGATATCCATTAAAATTTGGAAATATTCTGAGAATAAAATAGTAATTTTTACTACTTATAGACCACATGGTAATATTAATGAGTTATTGCTATTTGATAATGAATAATTTTTAGTTTATATTATAAATTAATATTTAAAAATGAATCCTCTATCAATATGCAATTTAAATTAAATAATTCCTCGTTTAAAAAAATAGGCTACAAAAAATGGATATCGAATGGTATTGAGATTTTTGTTAATTATGTGTATCTGATGAATCTTGATTAATAAGAAATAAGTCTCTCTTAAAAGAATGTGAAGATGTTATTACAAGTTGATGTTACTCATAAATCAGATAATAATTGGGTTTTAAAGATTTAAAAGCATTTTTTTGGAATATGAATACTAAAACAAAGATAGCTGTATTTGCAGGCCACAAATTTTTGGCTTCTGCGAGTGATGACAAATAAATTAGATTATGGAATATAGAATAAAGTGAATAATCAAATAATAAATTTTTATCAATTTACATATGGGGTTTAATTAACTCTTAAAATAAGGATAAAACTTAAGCAAATTTAATAATAGAAAATTAAAATGATTGAATTCGTTATTTTTCTTACAGCCCTATGGAAAATGATTTTTCAAGAACAGCTTTTGATAAATCAATAAATTTATATTGAGTGTAAAATAAATTATAATATCGAATAAAATAAAGATAAAATTGAAGCATAATAATCTAATTTTAATTTCTAAATTTATTAAAATAGTTTAATTTTTAAGTGAATGAAATTATTCACCATAATCTTATTATTATAAAGCCAATCAATGCAAAATAAAAAATTCAAAAATAAAATAAAAAGTCTATTCTTTAATTATTCAAATAAAAAGAAGCTAATGAATGAGATAAATTGAATAATTTTGTTATTTAATATATTAAATTAGAATATATCTATATAAAAAAATTATCTAAATTATCATATTAGTACTACAGACTAGAGTCTATCTCATAATTCAAAAATAAAATAAAATCAATATCAGTCTAAAAGTTTTCATTAAAACTTTTTCTGTTTTAATCTATTTGATTAATTTCAAATATTTGATATCTTGATTGATAAGTTTAAATCATTATTTATATAAGATGATAATCCAATTTTTGTTGTTTGTTTATATTTTAAGCAATCAAATCGTTTGAGTTTTGTTTAATAGTGTATTAAAATACTTGATTTGTAGTTGCAATTTGGTTCTGAAAATAATTTCTTAAAAAGCTAAAAATCCTTATTTCTAAAAGTAATTTAACGATTAAATAGCCACTCACCATAAGTCAAATTAGAA